GTGTGTGTGTGTGTGTGTGTGTGTGTGTGTGTGTGTGTGTGTGTGTGCACTGCCTGGAAGTAGTTGTTCCAGTTATTATTATAATAATATATTATACATTCTATCCATTATTATGTGAAAGCTGCTGTCACATGCAGATTCTTCCCGTGTCTTCCTCCTGCAGTGTATCTGGGGGTGACCAGCCTGAACGCGTACCAGGTGAAGATGAACAGCATCTGCGCCCAGTGGCAGCCTCACCGACACGCCAGCAGCTACAGGGTGCTCATGGAGTCTCTGCTCAGTGAGTACACAAACAGTCCCCACCCTCACAACATCCACCCATGTGGTGTTCAGGTACGCAGCATTTCATGTGCAGCACAGTTTTGTGTAAATATGCACAAACTTGTTTTTCAATGTTTTAATAATTAAAACTCCTGAGAAATAAATCCAGATGAAGAAGTTTCCTTTAAGAAAACCCCCGTCTTGTTGCTGTGATGTTCTGGCAGCATGTCTGAGAAGAAGGGGAGAAAGATGCAAATCCATGCATGCGCACGTTCACTCCTCTCGTGCCACTTTACTGGCTCTCTGGTTGATTTCATACCGAGGCATGAAAGTGAGACACATACATGCGGCTGTGGTTCTTCTCCATCCACCTCCTACGCTGCATATCTGTGCTGGTGGGAGTTTGGGGGGGTTTCCCTCATGCATACTCACACATGCTTTCATCAGTGGGAGTTTCAGAATGCAGCGTAGGGAGAGTGTCCCCCTCTCTGACTCTCTAGGCAGCCTGAGACGACAAAGACGTTGTTGTGTCTCATCAGAGCTCAAAGGTTTAGCAGAGCGGTCCGACACCGAGCCGCTCCGTAGACGAGGAGCCGGGCTGACGTTAACATGTGCTGCGTGAGGTGAAACACGGGGAAAGAAGACCAACGGCCGGTGTTATAGCTGCCAAGTGTGTCGGGAGGAGATTCACTTGTTACGGGAATGACGGTAATTACGCCGTGTTGTCTGTTCTGACAGCTGAGCCTCAAAGACAACAGAAGAAAACAAATCCTTCATCATCAAGGATTCTCTGACGATCGCTTCATAGAAACAATAAAGACAAAACAAAGGGCTTCTTTTTGAAGTCCATTGTGTGTGTGGGAGTGTGAGAATGAAGATGGCTGCCGTCTCCACGAGATGCCGATGATGTAAATGAAAGTCAAGAGTTTCTAAATGTTTCGTTGACCTCTGACCTCTCCGGGGAAGACGCTCGCTGTGTCTCAGAAGGAAACACCAAGAAGGTCACATGTGGGAAATCACTGCTGGAGGAATCTCACACAAACATGTCTGTGTTCAGGCTGGTCTCATCCAGCGTCCGTAGCCATACCTACGAACAATGATGCGGCGTAATTCGTAGGTATCCCTCAAAAGTATTTTGTATATTATAGTATATATATATATATATATATATATATATGTTATATGTTATCCACGTAATCATACAAAGCCGACTCAGGGTTGACGGGGATTTTGATGGTTCCAACAAACAGTACACTTTCAGCCAGGAGGCTGCTGTTCGTTCCCCGTCAACAAGAAGTCAGCGTTGATTTATTTCATGCAACTTCAATTACGACACTTCCGCAGTTATTTCAACCCAAACCACCATCTCTTCCTAAACCTAACTGAGTTGTTTTGTTGCCTAAACCTAACTGAGTTGTTTCCTGTGAAGATGGAAGTTTATTTTGAAAAGACTGATCGATGTAAGGAGCAGAAATTGACACGAGTTGCTGGAAAATAACAATAAAGATATATGAACCGTTGTCGTGTTTAAAAGGTATGACTGTCAGATGATCAGAACGATCGTGGAAAAACTCAAAACATACAACTTATTATCTAATATATGAAACTACAGACATGATATCTCACTTTAAAGGTCTAGTGCGTGGGATTTGGCGACATCTGGTGGTGAGTATTCAGATTGCAACCAACTGAAACTTCTCCCAGGGAACTTGATTTTGGAAAATGTAGATTTAAACTGCTCATTCTAAGCTAACCAAATCACAAAAACTGTAATTTTCAGGTGATTAAACACTAAAGAAAACAGACTTACATTCACATTGTTAACTCCGTCAAAAGTGACAAACAAACAAACAGTACCACTTCATTTTCCTCCTGTGGTCTCTGTCTCATCCTCTGGACTTAATGTCTCAGCTGATGATAGAGTTGGCCTTTTATTAAATATCAGATATCATTCAACGTTGACCACCTGTGATATGAGGGAGCTTCTGGCAACAGAAAAAAAACTGGGACTGAAAATCCTGCAGTTATATTTTCTTTTGGTAAAATAAACAAAAAAACTGATTTCATGACATAAACCTGGAAGAGACGTACTTCCCCCTAATTTTGCCCACATCCTCTAATTTGTGAAACTTGACACTCAGACTTTCGATGGAGATTGTTTTTGGTGCGCTGTGATGATTTCAAAGCTTCATTTTTGAACTGTGAGAGGAAAAGTGAATACTTTTAGTTTGCGACACTTTTGAATCTACAAAGTTCCTGATCTACAGCATTTAATACAAGAGTCCTCATTGTTCTTTGTGCTCTAGAATTCAAAATACAGTCCTGCGATGCACCATGCGCAGCGGTTTCTCTTACGCTATATACATTTAAATACTGGCTGTTGAAGGGAAGATTACAGTCTATCAGACTTTAAATTATCTCTAGACTCTTATTAAAACCTTTATGGAATAACTTTGATGCGCTCGTCTCCTGCTCCAGCTGTCAGCAAAGACTCTGAGCCGAAGTCACTCTCATAAAACAGCCTTGCAATTATTGAAATCACTCTTCTGGGTTCTGATTCCCAGCAATAATTGAGTGTTTTCCCCGTTTGTTTGAAACCGATAAACACACCAAAACAAACATCAAACAGCAGACGGCGTGGCCTCCGATTCCATCGCACTCGTCCGGCATTCAGCCGCCACCTCGAAAGGTGAGATTGACTTTTAATGCAGCCGCCATCCACCGAATGGGAGCCGGTAATGGCCGTTATTCATCACCTTCAGGCCTCCAGCGAACAGCGCCGCCATCATTAACGTCACATAAAAGGCGAAGCGTTATTGCGGCGCTCCCGTGTGTTCCTGCAGGGAGCTCCCAGGTATCGTTATCTCCGCACATGATGGAGCTCAATGAGGATTCATGTTTGCACAGCCGGTGAATAAACTACCAGAGGAAAGCGTGTCGGCTGCAGGAGAAGAGAGAGAAATGATGCGTTTGGTGTTGATGGGTGATAAAAATAAATAAAGATTAAAGAAGAGTTCCTCCTGTCGGACAGAACAGTTGTTTTATTCAAATGAACAGAGATCGACTCTGTGAAGGAAACATTTAGATCTAAACTTACTTTACAAATTAGAGAATCATGATATAAATAATCTCATGTGATTAACATCTGTATTTTAGGGAATCAAACATCAAAACATCTTTAATATTGACCGACTTCCTTCGTGAGCTCCACGGATCAGAGATTGTCAAACACTGTCCGTCAATTCTGCTATTTTTATCTTAACGTTGACAGTGTTGTTGCACAGATTATTGTGTTAAGACAACGCTGACTCCAATTTTGAAAATATTTGTTATTGCGTACCACAATGATTGAAATGTGAGCTCTTTCTCTAGATGTTTATGGAAATTTAAAAAATCCGTATGAATGGTAAAGTGAAGTAATCTCTCACCGGCTGGATTTGTGGAAATTTCAGTGGAAATTGTCTCGTGTGTCTCGTGTGGCGGGTTTTTGGGGGGGAAGTGTTTTTTGGGGGTTTTGTTTCTTTATTCTGGAGGGGATGTGGGCCAGATGTTGGAGATAATGTCGGTTTCTAGAAGTAAACCTCTGGCGTGTATTTTAGCTTTTCTTTATTTTTTATTTTTTTCCGCAGTTAGCTCTCAGGGTTTAATTAAATGACGGCTGTTTCACTGTAACAGACATTTGAATGCCGACACAAGAGTGAACGTGTGAATGTTCACCGGTCGTACTTCCTGCAGCAGTGAACCTGACTTCATGCCTTCAGCGTTTGAAATCAAAAGCTTTTAGTTTTGAAGCTGCAGCATCTAAATCATCTGAGTCGTGCTGCAGCTCTTTAACTCATTCAAATGTTCCACCTGCTCCCTGTGATGAAGTACAGTGTGGAAACGTTTTGTCCTTGAAATGTACTTGACAGGTTGCCAGTAGAGCCCGACTCCAGCCGGCGTGGAGTCAACACACAAACACACGTCATTATTTCAGTAATTGGATTTGCTTCGTCATTTATTTCTGACTGTGAAAAGTTTCATTTTATTCAGTTTCATTTGAGCAGAAACACACTGAGCTGCTGACAAAACAACAAACAAACAAACGCTTGAAACACTTTAAAAGAGAAAAGAATACAAGTGAGTGAGTCAGTAACTGGTTCTATATTTAAAGATCATCATCATCATGTAGAGGGATTCAAACCGTCCTCAGAGGGAGGCCGTCCTGTGTGATTGTCCCATGGAGACCACACTGTCACTGACTGCACCGCCTGAAAAATATTATATAAAACACCAGACTCCATGAAAAAACAATTCAAGCTCGACGGAGAGAAATTAAACTCACCAAAGCCCGTGTTGGTCACACTTTCTGCTGCTGAAAACAATCACCAACTCTGGTTTTGTCAAAATAAACCCTTAATCCCTCAGATTAGATGTGAAAATATCCTTTTATTCATTTCCCAGCAGCCTCTCTGATGTCTGATCTCGCTCTCGCTCCTCTCCCGATATCATCTCACCTAATGCGGTGAATTCAGGGTTTAACTCAGTTGGTGATTGTTGGTAAAAGTGGAAAGATGAACCGAGGCGTCGGTGAGTTTTATTTAGTTTCTGTCAAGTTTTAACGAAGTGTGTTTTACGTCACAGTAAAATCTGTGTTTTTGTCAATGGAGTCTTGTGTATTTGGTGATATCGCTGCTGTTTCAGTTAAACAAAAAGGATTTCACTCTTTAACGAAGTGTCAACCGGCACCGGGAGCTCCAGGGAGAGTGTTGGTGACCGGCTGGTTGTGATGCACTCATTATGTACGACTGCATGTCCAAATAGAACATTTCCCCACACAGCACAAAATACTCGATCAGAGCAGCCGCTTCCAGAAGGCTAACGAGGCGATGTCTGTATTTGTGCCGCAGACGGTCAGAAGCAGGAGACGAAGCTGAGCGGAGGAGCCAACCGACACTGTTTCAACAACCTGCAGGCCAACACGCAGTACAAGATGAGCGTGTACGCTCAGCTGCAGGACGGCACGGACGGGCCGGCGGTCACCGTCACTGAGAAAACACGTAAGAACAAACCCACGCAGTCACACCTGAGACACTCAAACACCGACACCGTGAGCTAAATTACATTCCATGTTCTAGTTCACGTGTTACTCTGAGCGCAGAGGAAATGTGGCTTCTGTTCCACTTTTTAGACATTTTCTCTGATCATTTCAAAGTAAAAACGTGTGTCTCTTAATCTGAAAAAAGCAAAACAATAACAGTAAAAAGGTACATTTTCTTATCCAAGATTTAAAGCCTGAAACACAAACTTAAGAATCAATTCAGCTTCACATTAAATGTGCCAGATCGATCAGAAACAGAAAACACTGAACTTAAGCATCTTACTCTCTTTGTGTTTCTTTAGAAATTAATTTTAATCAGTTATTGAAGAGAAATGTGACTTTTTCAGAACGCTTAATCCTGAATAAGTAACATTTGAGAGATGCTGACGAAGCTGTTCACTGCATACAAACATGGACACATCGAGTCCTCCACCTCCTCCACCTCCTCCACCTCCTCCACACTCCTCCACCTCCTCCACACTCCTCCACCTCCTCCATACTCCTCCACCTCCTCCACACGCCTCCACCTCCTCCAC